AGAACTGTCATTGCAGTTGAGTAGGATGGTAGCAGCATAATTACCAAATGGAGCCATTCTGTTATAGAAGATAGGTGGCTAAGAAGAACCCTAGTGGAGCAGTGGTTAAATTGCAATATTGCAGGCAAATTCTGCACACAGCCTGGAGTTCGATCCTGATGGGGTTCAAGATTGACTCAGTTTATCATCCTTCTGGAGTCACTAAAATGAGCAGCCAGATGGTTGGGGACAATATGCAAGCAATGCTTTCTCACTGTAAACCACTCAGAGAATGCTGTAAAGTGCTATGGGGTGATATATAAATCTAAATGCTATTGCTATTGGTAAAGAAACAATAATAAGATAACAATGAAATGAATCTATTTTTTGGCACAAGCATTCCCCAGATCCCTAAAGCACAATAAAAGCACAAGCATTCCCCAGATCCCTAAAGTATTACATCAGCCTACTTTTTCTTTTTAATTCTATCAGGATGCAATTTCTGGGAACATTTAAATATTCCAAAGTAGAAGGTAATATTTGGAATATTATACAGTGATTTTAAGGACAATTAATCAGGACTTTCTGTCATCTTGTTACCCTTTTGGTTGTGCAGGCTTTATAGCTTTGATAGTTTTTATTGATTATGGGTCATTATATTGGTGTTGACTCTTAGCAACCACATAGATAGATTTTCTTCATGATGAACTATCCTTAATCTGGTCCTTTTTTTCTTCCAAACATGCATTAATCACCATTGATTGATTATTGTATCCATCCACCTTTCTCAGCACAAGAGCCTTTTCCAAAGAACTAGGTTTTTGGATAATGTGTTTGAAGCACAATAATTTGAGCCAAGGTTTTTTGTGCCGCAAGTAATACCTCTAGTTTGTATGATGATCCATTTGTTTGTTTTATTGATGGCTATAGTATTCTCAAGAGTCTTCTGCAACACCAAAGTTCAAAAGTGTCAATGCCATTCTATTCTGCTTTTTCAAAGTCCAATTTGCATTTTTATCAAAACAGTTTGCAGATCCTTTGAATTTTGGCTACTGGAGATGTGTCATCAGCACAGATTATTGAACTTTCTTCCTCTCATTTTGAAACCATACTTGTTTTCTTCCAATTTCTCTCTCTCTCCCTCCCCCCCCCCCCCCCGTTCTTTCTCACACACACACACACACACACACACACACACACACCATGTAGACTGAATAAATAAGAAGAGTATCTTAGTCCAAACAGGAGATGGTTTGCTCTCTAGTCTAAAGCTCTGGTATGTATATAGTTTTGTATGAGGACAATGAAGTGTTGTTTGATTCCTATTTTTCTAAACAACTTTAAGAGGTTCATGTAATTGAAACAAAATGTTTCTATAATCAATGAAGCACATATTGACTTCCTTGGTGCATTCTATGCTTTCTCAATTATCCACCATGCATCAGCAATAGTATCTTGTGTTCTGGAGACTTTTCTAAAGTCAAGATGAACATCTGGCATCAATTTTTCCATGTAAGGCTCTAACATGCATTGTATGATCCTAAGCACTATTTTAATAGCATGTGAAGTTAAGCACACTGTATGACAGTTTGCACACTTTGTTAAATCTTCCTTTTTTTTTTATTGGAATGTGGATTGAGTGATCCCCCCCCACCCCAAGTTATCATTTTTCAGATTTGTTGGCAAACCTTGGTTAGAACCTTTACTGCTTCTTATTCTTGGTTTTCCATCAATACCTACAGCCTTCTGACTTAGTAATGGCAGATTGCTGATATAACATCTTCTAAAGTTTCTTGAAAGTTATAATGGGTATAAAGGCTGACATAAATATGTAATATCATCTAAAGTATCTGGATGTTGACATCTCTACTGTATAGTATTTCAATATACTCCTTCAATCTTTCTCTGATCTTTTTGAATTACTTACTATCTGTCCATTGTTATCTTTCATTTTGAGACTGGAACCTGCTTGTGAGTTCAGAGCTCTTTTGGAAGATATTCCTAGTTTTTTCATGTCTGTTTCCACCAACAGTTGTAATACTGTTACTTGTCTCTTTTCACAGCTCTCTGAAATTCTGTGTTCTTTCTGGAGATGTTTGTCTGTCTTGGCTTTGGCTTCTTTTTTGTATTTAACAATTTCCACAGTTTATTTTTATATTTAGTTTGTCTTGACATGTAATTTGTTTTCTTCTTCTTCATCTTTGGTGGGTGTCTTTTCACATTCACTTTTGGTGGAACCACATACAGATCTAATGTCTAGAGATAGATCTGTGCATATGCTTTTTGGAACCTTATTTGTGTTCTGATTTCAACACCATGGAGTAACAACAACAGTCTCCAACTATATTATGGGGAGTAAAAGAAGAAATAGTATCCACCACAGGATGTGATTGGTTCAGGAGAAATCTTGAAGTCCTAGTTGAGGCATTAGAGGAAGGGGTTTCTTACCTCAATCTGATCTATAGGAACTCTTCATCTTACCATTTTGAATCCAGTTTCCTTGATGCAATTATTCCATTTGAAATAATTTGTGATGACCAATTGCCTGATTGGGATTGTATTTAATTGGCAGAATGATAATGTTGACTAGGGACTAGCAGAGGTTAGTTCAAATAGTTGCAAGGAGTCAACAATGACCCAAAGGCACATGCAGACATACACAGAGACACAGACACAAATACAAGGAAATGAGTATCTTATTTTGTTTTGGCCCTTCCCACTACTTTTTTTTAGAGCACAGCAGTGAAAAGCTGTTATCTTCACCCCCAGAGAAACCTTTGTACCCCTTCTTTAATTGAAGAGTGCAAAGATTGTATTGGGACACGCATACAAAGCATGTGTTCAGTCACTAAATTATAGCACTCCCCGTATCACAGAAGTCTTCCATGGTACTCTCAGAATCTCCTAATGGTTTTTTTAAAAAAAAATCTTCCAGCTGTTTAATGTTCCTTTCTTGCAATTTAGGATTCATTACTCCTTTCCCAAGAATTAACAAGGGGGGATTTGACAGAGGCTGCCTACGAGGGCAGGGACAAAGGCCATGCTCTCATTGATAGTGACAGCAAAGGGCAAGTTTAAATGAGCACCCAGCATGTTGTGATGGAAGCATTCAATCTGTAGAGTGACTTCTGCATCCTGCTATTCAGAAGAAAAATGGCTATTTCCCAAGAATGTCCTCAGGAGATCAGAGAGCTCATTAAGACTAATGTGGTACATTAAAAGGGAGAGCAAAATGGGGGTGAGTAGGCAGGGTCTTAGACTGGTCTGAAAGCAAGAAGGAAGGAGACAGATCATTGGTAAATTAAAACTGAACCCTTTAACACCCATGGGAAAAGTGGATCAATCCCTTCACTCAGTATGGTGGGCTGATGAAAGAAGGGCAAAGAAAAATGCATGGCACAATCATTGTCCATACTGAATCCAAAATGCTCCATATTTATTTGCCACCATAATTTGTCAATTGTCAATTGTGGTCTCAGAAATAGGGCTCGACACATTTTGAAAACTATTCAGAAGTGCCTCAGACTTTACCTTGCTAAAAGCTCTTCTCTGCTATGTATTAACACAGCCTGAGTTTCCACATGTGCCTGGAAAAGAAAGTTGTGGCTGCTTTAAGTGGTGCATGATCCCTCAGAATAGCCACAGCTATTTTTCAGGCTCGTGCAGGAGTCTGAAAAGAATTTAATAGCTTGAATAAATAATAGAAAGTGCTGTGCTCGTGAGAGGTTCCAAGTGCTTATTTTGAATACTGTTGGAACTGTGCCCATTCTAAAAGTGTTTTTTTTCTAAAGATGTTTGTGTAAGTGTGCATATACATATACATATATGCATGCACTTTAGCTGCCCAAATGGCACAAACATCTTCTAGCCAAGTAATTTTTCTGTGCGTTGGATTTTACTCAAATTGTGCTTAGAGTCACATGACACGCTTAGCTTTGTTAGTAAAACCCAATTTACAGTCTTAAGTGGGCTGGGTTTGCACAAAAAAACTAACCAAGAATAAAACTAACCAGCTTACCAGGTTGTAGATATAACTGTATCGTCTGATTAAGCAAATTTTGCATTCTTCACTATGGGAGCCTCTAATTTATAGAAGCAACAACAGATCCTTTATGCAAGAGAGAAGAGGCATGTCTTTGGAGCCCGGGGCAAACTTGGAATTTAGGGAGCGTGTGGCATGTGTGCTCACAAAATAGCTGCTCTGGAAGACTTACCTGTTTACAAAATGCCTCCCATGTTGGGCATCATCAATCCCAAATTCCTATTTATTGGGAGATGAATGAGTCCTTAGAAAGATGCTTTCTATACAATCTTTTGGGGATTTTTGTGAGAAGCACAGATATTCCAATAAATAAGTAAATACGTTGCTACCGGTAGAAGCTGGAGTTTTGCTTTGCTTCTTATTTTTAAAATTTTTTTAAACTAACAGCTAGGGCATCAAGGGAAGGGTTGGTTAGACATTACTTCCCTGACTCTCATGTTGCCTACATCTTTAGGAAGGGCACTGTATCTTTAAGGATTACTCTCTTAATTGAGTTCAGAAATTAGGCACTGGATTCTGGCAATGGCAATAGATAGGTCTGCACCAGATAAATATTCTATTTTAAGTGCAATATATTTGTGAGAAATTAAAATAAATAAATTAGGAATAAGTAATTGCATTTCAAAATCTTTTGATAAACCCTTACTTCAACCAGCACAGATTTTGTTAAAAATGTTTTACATGATCATAAAAGTTTATGATACCCACGTAATTCTCCACATTAGAAGGAACTTGGAAATTTTTTTTATTTTTAATTTTTTAATTTGATTTATATGCCGCCCTTCTCCAAAGACTCAGGGCGGCTTACAAGGCATTAAGCAATAGCCTTCATACTTTTGTATATTTATACAAAGTCATCTTATTGTTCCCACAATCTGGGTCCTCATTTTACCTACCTTAGAAAAGATGGAAGGCTGAGTCAACCTTGAGCCTGGTGAGGTTTGAACTTGCAGTAATTGCAGGCAGCTGATGTTAATAACAGTGCTTTAGTCTGCTGTGCTACCAGGGCTCCTGTATTGGTGGGAGAAAGGAAAAGGGCAGGTTCCTGAAGGGAAAGTAAATGATGGAAATGGATTCTGTCTTATATATATATATATAATTTAGGATCAAAAGTATTCAGTGGGTATTTTTCTGTTCCTACAGAAATCAGAGGGAGACTTCCAAGGCCAAGTACTTGTGCTGTAAATAATCATCCTGGATATCAATAAATGCTTATGTTCTGATTTCCTCACATAAAAGGCCAATTCTTTCAGGCTAGCCGGTGCCTGTGTTCCTATAACCTTTAAAACAACTGTTCCTTCTTCAGACATTTTGAGGGAATGATGGCATGGGGAATTCTGTGGAAAAAAAAGTAGACAAAGAAGTTGGAGATGTGGGACAGGTCAAGGAAAGATTGCTTTACATTCAAAACTAAATTCCCTGCAGAGAGCAACTGAAACCCAAGACACAGGAACAAAGCGGCAGGTCAGCAGAAAGTCAGCAATTTTGGCACTCTAATCTAATGTTTACATTGGACACCACCATATTAAATCTTTCCCATAACTAATGGACGGAAAACAGATGCAAGTCAGAGCATGATCAAACACGATCCTCCCGACTACCACCCGCACATAATATGGAGCAAAGGTGGCGATGGTGGAAGGCTGCCAGATTGATGTTATTTATTTATTTCCTTCTTTCTTAGTTAACATTTTTATAAGCATTGTTAAAAAAGAAGAACCCTATCAAATCTCAGAGAGTAAAAATAGGCTTAATGCTAAACCTCTTCAAAGGGCACCCAAAACAAAGAAGCCTTGATCTTAAATTTCTTCAAATGAATCAAAAGTTGGTTCATTCCTTCTAAGATGCCATGCATATATGTGGAGCCAACACTGAAACATTGAAGCCACTAAGATAGCTAGACATACGATATATATATAAATAGATGAGAGATAGATAGATGAGAGGGAGAGGGAGAGGGAGAGGGAGGAAGAGAGATGATAGATGATAGAGATAGATGATAGATAGACAGACAGATAGCATGCGTTAAAATTAAGCCCTACCCCAAAATATGGCCCTATTTAAGTGCATGTGTGGCCAGGCTTGCCGGAGTGGACAATGGCAGGCTTTTTCGGGTGGATGGCTACTAGTAGCTGGAATGACCATTACAGGTAGGCAAGGGTGTGTGAGGTGCATGAATCATGTCGCTTGATCTTTTCAGTCATGAAATAAGCAGCCTGGTAGCTAGGCGAGGCGCGTGGGTTGCGTCGATCACTCTTTTAGGCCGCGAAAGGAGCGGCCTGGTGGCCAGGCAAGGCACATGGGGGGAAAATTAAGACATCCCTCAAAAAGAAGGACTAGCCGTTTTTTCAGGGGTCAAAAGAAATAAGACCCAGTCTTATTTTCGAAGAAACACGGTACATATACATATACATATACATATACATATACATATACATATACATATACATATACATATACATATACATAATCATAACTGAATAGATCTGCCTGTTCATGGTTCACCACCAGAACAACTCTGAACAATTGAATTTCAGTTTCCTTGTCACTGTCTGTGACAATTCATTGTGTCATTTTAGTCCAAGTAAGCAATCCAGTAGGTTTGAGAAGACATATTTTATTACATAAATACAAAGTTTATGCTTGTGGTGAGGTGAGTGGCAAACAAATTTAATAAATCATAAAAACAAACAAATAATCTAGTTGGGATTGGTGGAAATTGAAGCTTAAAGCATCCGGAGAGCTCTAGATTCTGGGAATCCCCAGCCAGTATGTTGACTTCATAAGAAAAGAAATAAAAACGGATGGCAAATTGCCAGTCATAGAATGATGCAATCTGAAGGCTGAGAAATACTACTCTAATTGTCCTCTCACACATTTGCTGCATATTTAAGAGCTTAAAACTGAGTAGAATAGCAGGAACAGACCTGTTGGTCTCTTTACTGCCCTTGTGGTCCAAGCACCTTGTCCTTTAGTCTCCACTCATTCATCTGGAAGTTCTAAAGGAGAGTTAAAAATAAGTACAATCCACTACACAATCTAGGAATTTGTTTTATTAAAGGCATTAATTGTGTGAGAGCATGTTAGGGAAGATATGGGGTGCCAAGGTACAATGTATTATAAATCTTTATGTCTTCAAGCTAATGTCTGAACATGTTAGGATTTTTCGGTTCACTCCCATTCCCTCACATCTTGGTATCTTAGCCATTTGGTCTCTTGCTTAAGAATCCTATCTGGCATTCCTTTGACATTGTTAAAATTGTCTTTTCTAGAATTTGAGGTACCCAAGGATTCCAGCATTGCATCGTTACTTTCCCACAAATATCTCTTAAACAAATCATTATGCAGCCAACATGTACCAAAACACATTTTGCCACATAGTGCTGTTAATATTAAACGTGATGTATGGAACTGATAGGGACTGTTGTAATTTTAGATGAATTTTGCTACAGTTGTAAATAAATGTATAAACCAATAGGCGTATGTACCAAAGTCTTAGTTTTTTGGCTGCAGAAAAATATCACTTCGCATCACTGATCATGCAGCTAGACTGATTTTCATTGAGTAATTTGCATTGGAAAGCTTTTCCATGACACTTGAAAAAAAAACAAACACATTATCCTATTAGGCACATTTAATGAGAAAACATTTCCTCTCCCTCTCTGTCTTATTTTTATATATATATTCAGAAAAGCTGTATATTAGAATCCAATTATATTTACTCTTTTCAAATATCTGTAATTTGTCTCAGGAAAGTGTTGCTGGAACCTTTTCTTTGATTTGTAGAGACCAAGCAAGTGTTGTTTTCATGCTTTTTTTCCTGTTTATTTTTTTTATATTCCACCTTTACTGCATTATTTTTATAAATAATTCAAGGTGGTGAATCTATATAATATTCCTTCTTCCCTCTATTTTCACCACCATAACAACAAACCTGTGAAACAGGTTGAACTAAGAGACAATGACTGTTCCAAAGTCACCCACTTGGCATCTGCATTCTGTTAGATCAGGGGTGAAATCCAGCAGGTTCTAACAGGTTCCGGAGAACTGGTAGCGGAAATTTTGAGTAGTTCAGAGAACTAGCAAATACCACCTCTGGCTGGTCCCAGAGTGGGAGGGGAATGGAGATTTTGCAATATCCTTCCCCCAGGAATGGGGTGGGAATGGAGATTTTGCAATATCCTTCCCCTGCCATGCCCACCAAGCCACACCCACAGAACTGGTAGGGAAAATTTTTGAATTTCACCCCTGTGTTAGATGCTCTCCATTTTGCTCACTTTATTTGGATTTTCTCAATGTGAGTATTTTTGACATTAAAGTTACTTCATCCTTTTTTTTGAGGTATCTCTTTGATGTGTCCTTAAATGGCTACATTACAATCATGGGAGTCATCCAACCATATCTCAGTTACACCTATAACCTCTCTGTCCACCCCCCCCATCCTTCACCTCTACCATACACACACCACATTCATTTTGTCTGAGCTTGAAAACTCAGAAAATCTGATTAAAAACTGGATTGGGGAGCACCCAAGATTTCCAGGACTCTAGGCTACATTGGAAAGTCAAATGCACCAGAGAAAAAGACAACCGTTGCTGTTGAAATGAAAACCGTATGAACTTGTTCATGAAGTCTTCAAGGATCAGGCTTAATTGGAAGGAGACATTACCATTTCAGACTCATCTTATTAATTTCTCATATCTTATACTGTGCATAAATGGCTATAGAGAGAGTTACTGAAGGCCTTGAATATTAAACTCCAGGTTTTCCTAGCTATTTAATTATGAGGTTTTTAGGACTCCTTGTAATTTCCCTATTTTTGCCTCAGTACCTCCTCTTAAGCTACTCTCTCCATCCTGCTCTGGTTTAAATTTGAAGGATTTTTTTAGGGCAGGTGGACTTTGCCTCCAACAAATAATTTTTCCCAGTCCTTCTCCATCTTTTGTTGACCACATATATAAATTTATTATTCCTTAATAACATAACTGGCAAGAGAAAAACTTGAAATAGCTTAGAAAGAACTGAGTTGCTTCATCAAATCCATAAATACTTTTCAGACAAAGTTTCTTTAGCTGAAGTTCTTTCTTAACCTCCTGATTTGTTTGCTTAGATGGGAAGAAGAGAAACATTTTGCATAGATTAAGGTCCATTGCAATTCAAATGGATGTAAATTGTGAAGTGGCTGGGATGGGCAGTCAGAACTGGATTCAAATAATATTGTATTAAATCTGTCCTGAAATTTCTCTTGTTTTTTCTTTGTGTGAAAGAGGCTCCTATTTTTCTTATTCTTAAGGGGCTTGATAATTTATTTTGAATTTCTTCTAGTGCTATTTTATTGTTGGGAATGGTGAATGTCACTGCTGTTGATATGATTCGTTTGGTTTAAAAATTTCCATCCTTTCCTTCTTCCTCAATGTGAAAGAAACCAGTGAGAGGATTTGCCTCAGGAGGTCTTTCCTTAAGACTTATTAGAAATGTGAGAATTCAGGAAGAGATCAGCAGACCACTGAAGAGATTTCACTGCAACCTCTAATCAACCATCAGGCTTCCACTCTTCAGAACCTTTGGATTCAAATGAAGCTGGTAAATGTAAGACCTATGATATAAGATTAGGGAAACTAAGACAGGATTAATCCTATTAAAATTCATCAGCTATTTTTATCCTGTAATTTATTATTTTATTTATTTTATTTTATTTTTAAATTTATATACCGCCCTTCTCCCGAAGAACTCAGGGCGGTGAACAGCCAAAGGTAAAAACACAAAATACAAAATTTAAAAGCAATTTAAAATAAATTAAATAATTTGGCCCAACAGTTTAAATACCCCATTAGAATTCAGAATAAAATTAAACAATTTAAAAATTTAAAAATTAGGTCAGCCCGGCTTGGTGGAATAAGAAAGTCTTTAGGGCCCGGCGAAAAGTTTGTAAGTCCGGGATCATCCGTATCTCCGGGGGGAGCCTGTTCCAGAGGGTAGGTGCTCCCACAGAGAAAGCTCTCCCCCTGGGGGCCACCAGTCAACATTATTTGACCGACAGCATCTCGAGGAGACCCTCTCTGTGGGAGCGTACTGGCCGGTGGGAGGCTATCGGCGGCAGAAGGCGGTCTCGTAGATATCCAGGTCCAAAGCCATGGAGCGCTCTAAAGGTGGTAACCAACACCTTGAATCGCACCTGAAAGACCACCAGAAGCTAGTGCAGCTCACGCAGGAAAGGTGTTACATGGGAGCGCCATGACACTCCCATAATCACCTGTGCGGCCACATTCTGGACCAGTTGGAGCCTCCGGATGCTCTTCAAGGGGATCCCCATGTAGAGAGCATTACAGTAATCCAGGCGGGAAGTGACGAGGGCATGAGTGACTGTGCGCAAGGCGTCCCGATCCAGAAAGGGACACAACTGGGGAATCAGGTGAACCTGATAGAAAGCCCCCCTGGCCACGGCCATCACATGTTCTTCTAAGGACAGCTGTGCATCCAGGAGGACACCCAAGTTGTGAGCCCTCTCCGCTGGGGCCAACAACCCGCCCCCAATCGTCAGAGATGGCACCAACTGATTATATCGGGACGCCAGAAACCACAGCTACTCCGTCTTGGATTGATTGAACTTGAGCCTGTTTCTCCCCATCCAGATCCGCACGGCCTCCAGACACCGGGACATCACGTCAAGGGCATCATTGGGATGGTCCGGGGTGGAGATGTACAGCTGAGTGTCATCAGCATACTGATGGTACTGCACCCCGAAACCACGGATGATCTCACCCAGCGGCTTCACATAAATGTTGAACAAAAGGGGTGAGAGGACCGACCCCTGTGGCACCCCACATATAAGGCGCCTCGAGGTTGACCTCTGACCCCCCGTCAACACAAACTGCGATGGGTCAGAGAGGAAGGAGGAGAACCACCGCAATCCGGTGCCCCCCACCCTTAACCCCTCCAACCGGCGCAGCATGATACCATGGTCAATGGTATCAAAAGCCACTGAGAGGCCTAATAGGACCAGGACAGAGGAACAACCTCTGTCCTGAGCCCTCCAGAGATCATCAACCAATGCGACCAATGCCGTTTCCGTGCTGTACCTACGTCTGAAGCCCCACTTGAATGGATCAAGATAAACTGCTTCATCCAGGTACTGGGGGAACTGTCGCGCAACCACACTCTCAACCACCTTCGCCACGAAGTGGAGGTTGGAGACTGGACGATAATTTGCTAAAACAGCTGGGTCCAGGGAGGGCTTCTTGAGGAGGGACCTCACCACCACCTCTTTCAAGGCGGCGAGAAAGTAACCCTCACTCAAAGAAACGTTGATAATCCTCTGGAGCCAGCCTCGTGTAACCTCCCGGGAAGCCAGCACCAACCAGGAGGGACACGGGTCCAGTAAACATATGGCCGTGCTAAGTCTACCCAGAATCCTGTCCACGTCTTCGGGAGTCACCGGGTCAAACTCCTCCCAGATAACACTCTCAAGACCTGCCTCCATCACCCCACCTGCATCTACCCAGTCAGAGTCCAAGCCTTCCCGAATCTGAGCGATTTTGTCATGGATAAAGAAATCCATAACATGATATATTAAATATATATTAAGAAATAGTTTAGAAATAATACTAGAGAAAAAAATTAATGTGAGCACAAATGAGAATATGCTTGGAATGAAAACTGTCTGAAAAAAGACAAAAGATCAGGCCACATGGTTATTCTCCTGCCTCTTCTGAAAAGAATCATTGTGCCAGCCCCCATCACATCTCCTGGGTCTTTCTTGCCTTGTATAAGACAAATGGAGATACAAAAAAAATGTCCTGCAGATACTCAAATTCATTTCCAAGTTCATGTTTGAACATTCACTGATAGACCCTTGGGCTTCTTCCAAATAAATAAATGCAACAATGTTTTACTCATGATGAGAATATCAGACAAACCATCCTTTTCTTTGAAAGAAACATTGGAAGTGATCTGTCTAATTCTTCAACTGAATTAGAGCTGAAGGAAAAATATCAGAAGA